GTTTGACATGATGGTGAGCACTACTTTGTTCCTAGTGACATACAGGCCCAGATGGAGCAACTCACCTAGGTCGGTGCAAAGTTAGCGACACGAGCGGCAAGAGCCGAGCTCGACGGAAGAGGAGTAGGGAGGTGGCTGGCAGGAAAGGACAAAGGAGATCGTAGGGCGAGCGGCATGGAAAAGTCAGAAAACGTAGGAGAGGAGACATCAAGGGACAGTAGAGGAGGCAATGCGAGTACAGAGGGTAGTGAAACACCTTGTATTTGCTACTACAGACAGAGTCGCACTAGCCTCAGTTAAGGACTAGTTATTGACGAGACACACCGATATCTTGGCCTGCAGATAATTAGGAACGGAGCAGAGTGCACCATCACTATCACTGGGTTATGCATGGTGCAACAGATCCTCAAGCGTTTCAACCTTCACTCTACCTCTTCATAGCTTAATATTCTATGACATACCCTCTCGGCGCCTATCTTTGACGAGCCGTTTGAGCCCATTGGTAAGCACACAGAGCTGGTTGGGTGCCTCATGTACATGATGGCATGCATTTTCCCACATCTCGCATATCCTCTTAGCATCCTTGATCGCTTTGTTGGGAGTGGGATACACTGACATGAGCACTGGTCGCCTGCCAAGAGGTTATCGTGCTAACCGGCTACTTCATTAGGCGTGGGGCGTGTGCTCGAAGAACGACAGCCAGCTGCTCTCACGGGGCACACTGACGGGTCGTGGGTAGACGACATTGAGAATCTCAGGTCCTCTCAGGGCTACTACTTTGGCCTTGGTGCTAGAGTTGTTATAAGCATCCACTTGCTTGTTGTCGGTGGCACAGTGCAGCTGTGAGGCAGCGATCTATGTTGATGCTAAGGCTGCTCAGGAGCCACACAGGCTAACGTTCTTACTCACCGATTTTAGTGAGCCGCCTACCGGTCCTGTACGCCGATTGCATGGCCAGGATCTTCCTGTATCAGGAACCTAGACAAGAGAGCGTAGCGAAGCATATCTAGTTGCACTACTTCATGCTGCGTGAGCAGCAGCAGTGCGGCCAGGCAATTATAGTACATTGGCCTTAACGACCAACATTGTTGATATCTTTACTAAAATGCTCATGCATCGTGATGACCAACGGCTCTTTATACAGCTTGAGCTTGTTTTAGTAGGATCTCACTTGTTAGATCTTGATCTATGTACAATATAATCACTGATTAGCCTTGTGACCCTTCGTCTAGAACGCTGTCCTAGTAGTACCGCCCTGTCTTGCATCTCATACGCCTTGTTATTTTTCCTGGTTAGGCTTGTGGCCCTTTCGCCCAGAGTTCAGACTGGTAGTGTCGCCTTGAGTCAATTCTCATCATTTTAGGAACTTCTCCTTACTTAACCGATGGGGTATATCAAAATACACATATATGTTCCAAATATGTATGTTGTAGGCTATGTTTAATAAAACCATAGAGGATGTATGTTTTTTTTTTAATGTATGCCTTGATGAGCTGATTATTCCTGTTCGTAATCGCTACGCCTTCCTACTATTATACCAATAGCAAAGATCCATGCAAATATTGATTTCCCTTGTACCGGGTACTTCATATTGGGATTTTATCGATCACACCATTTTATTTGTCGATTTTAACATGGAAGAAGAATACAAGTCGAACGGTTCATGCTAGTTGTGTAAATAAATGCATATATGACACAATGTCCAATGCATATAAATTCTGTAAGTACGAAAGAAACAGATTGTTATGCATACAGATGACGCTTTCCCCAATAATGCCATACGCAAGCCCAGCGCAACTGGCGCTTCACTTCGAAATTGGGTCCCAGCGACGAAGCGCGACTTCCTGGTACCCGAAGCGCAATCAAAATCCGCCAAGTCCTGCATGAAACAGCCACACCATTATTTACTCCCCTCCGCCCCACCAGCACTGGCGAGCTGTCGTCACACGCAAGACACCTCCCACCCACCAAGATAAAATATCCCATCATAACTGACGTTCAGTTTGGAAAAAGAAAAGCCGTACGCAGTTTTTGCTAGTTTCTTCTTCCATTAGATGAATCACAAGCTTCGCGCACTCTCCCAACTTTACCCAGGCCCACTGGTTTCCCATGGATACTGGCCTTCCCCGTCGTCTTGTCCTATCCCTTCTGCTGCTGCTGCTGGCCTGTCAAAGTGTTCTGGCAGGCTTTGTGGTTGACCAGAACGGACAAGTATGGGAAGTGACATATCGTGAGTGCCTCTCAACCTTGAAAGTTGCATTTTATCACCTGCAGCACACCTCGTGTTTTCTTACCATTGCAGCTTCAACCTTGCAGTACGGATCTCATTTCTCAACAGTTGTGTGCTACAAGCTACAAAAGATATGCGGCACGACCTCCTCCTTCCACATAAAACGGCATGAATGCCACGCTGCGTCGTGCTTCCATCTAACCTCCCCTCTACCCCACACCGACATTCATTGGTCAGGGCCAAGGTGGGCGATTGTCATCCCGCTGATCATCTCAAGCGTTCTTCTGCTCGGAGGCATCGGCTTCCTCGCGTACTGGCTCTTCAAACGCCACTACGAAGAGAATGACGTGTACTACGAGCAGGAGCAGCCCAAGCCCGCGGGCGGCGCAACCGTGTAGAGACGAGACGGGTGACTACAATATTATATATTGAGAAACGGTGCTGCAAAGTGGGTGAACTGCTGGATAAGGCTGCCTTGCAAAACGTGTCTGAAACTGCTGGTGGGAGAAGGATTAGGGGAATTTCGCCGACGCCAACTACGAGGGTTGAAGGAACTCCCTTGCTTTTCACGGATTTTTAGTGGTCAGATAGCATGCGCTCTGATTGTATAGTACCTTTGTAGTCGATTGCCATGGTTCCATATAATGTTAGATCAAGCACTAAACCCGAATATGGAGCCAACGACCATCTCCTGTGAAATGCTCTCAGCCATGACGTTTCGGCGAGTTGGTCTATTTAGAAGCATGAAATCGGGTGTTCTCTACTTTCCGCTGACGCTACAAAGGATGATCACATCCCTTCTTCCTCCCCTACAACCTCACACTACAGAGCAACGCCCCACCAGAGTATGACATATCAACATATATTAGTTGGGTTTGGTATATCTGGCATATGAGTGAAAGCAGATGGCCTGGATAACAACTTAGAATGGCAACAAATAACGTACCATACCTAGTTTATATATTTTCCTTACTTCGCGCCCCTGCTTATCGCATACACGACTGTTCCCGCCAACAGTTCCCAACAGTGCACCGTTACCACTAGCGATCGACCACTGTTCCAACAACTGTTCCCGCCACTGTTCACGACACGACACAACCTCACAGCTCGGTTGGTAACACGCGCTCCGGACCTCCGCCTCGACATTTCCCAACCTCGGCGCGAGGCCAGTAGCGCACCCCAAATTCTCGTATTACTGTTACCGCGCCAGCTACGCTATATATTCTTCGTTCATACCACCTTCGCCCAATGTACTATTTTGCTTCGATTGTGCAATTCTCGCTTGCTCGCTAGATTGCACTCGTAAACCTTACCTCCATTACATGATCTAAACGGGGACCAACGCTTCATGATGGTTTACATTGGTTCACAATCTACTAAGAGCGTATTCCTGAATCCTAACCTCGTATCAAGAGAACAGGCCCTCAGAAGTCAGAGAAATTTGTCTGATTTGCTTGGAAAAGTCTGAGATTTCAGATATTTTTTTGGGTGTACTCTGTGAAATTCAGAGTTTTTTTGGCCTCAACTCTGTAAAAATCAGATTTTCTTTATATGCTGACTCTGAGATTTCAGAGTTTCCTGGGAGTGTACTCTGAGGAATTCAGAGTACAAACGAGTACCGACTCTGATTGTAACTACCTGTGCACCGACACCCAGGATTACCGGTGGTACATTGTACCTGTGCAGTCAATCACGCGAAATCTGTGCCAACTGTCAAGTTCTGTAGGCGACGCCGCCCTGAGGCGCGGTGTTTCCCTCGTACAGCTGGATGATTCCCCCGCCCTGCGGCGCGATGTTTCCCACGCTGTAAGCTCCAGCACACACTCTGTTAGAGCATTGATTGGTCCGTTTGGCAGCTTTTGACTGCCATCACGAACCCCACCACCACCAGTGTCCACAACGCTGTAGCAGTTGCCACCCACGTAAAGGTGATGGCAAGCAGACGTTGCCAAGAACACCCGTTAATTGGTCCCTTTGGCAGCATCGTGCACGGCAGACGCGCCTCGTCGTTGCCGTGCATGCTAGGCAACCACAGCTCTACGAGCTAGGGTTTCATCCCCATCCCTCAAGTCAGCTTCAATTCAGGGGGCCCCTCCACTGCCCAGTTCAGTAGCCTCAGAACCGCCTCTCGTACCTGCTCGGCAGGCTCTCTCAACTCTTCGCCATGGCTCAGCCCGACAATCCCGCTACCTCCGATGACGACGACACTGATTCGCAGCCTGCGTTAACAGGCTTGGATTTTTTGCTCAGTCACCTAGCTCTCGAGAAGGCAGCATGCGCCGAGCCCGATTGTATCCCCACCTTGAAGGAACCTCCAGCACCCGTGATCTCAAGACCCGACCCTGTGGCAGAGACACCTGCGGAACCAACGGTTGTTTCGGCATCGCACCATCCCGCTCAGACCACGGCGCGACCCGTCCGGCTCAAGCAGGCGACATTGAGCTTCGCCAGGCCTTCATCCTCGACCGCAAACGTCAACAATACTCCAGGCTCGTCTGAACGTCCGCGACCTCGCCTCACCATAAACCTGGAGGAGCTCATTGAAGGGCTGTACGATGATGCCATTGACAGGTTCAAGAGTCAGTGGCAAACGCGGTTTCCTTGGCTGCAAATCACCAAAACCACATCCGGCTTGCCTGCCTTCAAGTGTACTGTGTGTGTAGCTTATGCTGGCGACGGAGGCAAGTGCGGGAGACGCGGGAAAGGAGCCACGGACTTGCAGACCCAGTCGTTCCGTAAGCACGCGGGCACGGCTAAGCACAAGCTGGCGATGGCGAGACAAATAGCTGTGCAGGAGTGCGGAGCGAGGCAGCCGCAGATCGACCAGCATCGCGCCACCGTGGACGGAGAGCAGTCGCGCGTCGTCGCCCTTCTCGACTCCCTGCTGTTCATCAGCAGGTCCGATGCGCCGATGGGGATGTGGGTGAAGCTTGTGCGTTACATGGCGGAGAAGGGCGTGCCTGGCTTCCCGAAGAAGGGCTACGGCACCTACTACACCACGTGAGTGCGATTGCCCGAAGTTATTTGATGCATTTTGTTGTGTCAATGTTTAGTCCAAAGGTTAATTTTAGTGTTTCGTTGTGCATGCAGGTACGGTTTCGGGGAGTTGACGCAAGCGACTACGACATGGCTCCAGACAACCCAGCTGGAACACGTGCTGGCGTCGCCCTTCGTCGGCATCGCTATTGACGAGAGCACGGATAGGTGCAGCGGGAAGCACCTGATCCTCTTCATATCTTTCATCCGTGACAACATGCTTGTCACGGAGTTCATGACTCTTCTTACCGTGGAGAAGGCCGATGCAGCTTCCCTCCTCAGTGTTTTGTTGTCACACCTGCAGGCTGTCGGGGTCGACCTTCAGCGCAAAGCGGGGATCAGCACCGACGGTGCCAACGTCATGATGGGCAGCAAGTCCGGCCTCACCACACGCCTCCGACTGCGCATCCCCCACCTGGTGTCATCCCACTGTATCGCGCACAGGTATGTAAGTATGTATGTATATGTTTTTCATTTGTTACTTCTTTAGCGTCTTTACGATTGTTTGGTTTCCTGATGTACTAATGATGTTTGCATCTTGTGTACAGGGAGGCACTCGCGGCCAAAACGGCTGCCGAGAAGGTTCCGGCGTTCAATGTCATTGACTCGGTGATTCGCACCGTGGCAGAGCATCTCGGCCGTTCGGGCCCCTGGCATCAACGGTTTATGGGGCTCCAGGAAGTCTTCGCATCAACCTCTCTTGAGCTCCAGGGCATTCATTCCGTCCGGTGGCTTTCGCGGGGCGACGCAGTGCTCAGGCTTGTCGCGGTGCTTCCGGCACTCATCGTGATGCTTAAGGAGTGGGACGCTAACCTCTATGCTTTGGTTACTAGTTACAGGTTCCATTTCCTTCTCTTCTTCATTGCTGACGTGCTGGAGCAGCTCAACATCCTGAACCGGGTGTTCCAGCAAAAGGAGGTGAGGTTGGCCATAGTTATCTGTTAATGTATTGTTGCTTGTCGCCACTTGTACGTGTGTTCATGTTTGTTAACCCTGATCAACCACTAACTACCGATTTTTTTGTCCCCTGTCCAGCTTGACTATCCCGCCGTGCATGCGCAGATCAAGCGCACAACCTCCCACATCGAGAGCCGCTACGTTGATTGCGGCGACGACTTCGGTGGCGGGGTGAGCGAGCGGCTGTCCCCCTTCATCGCGCGCCATGGGCCAGGAGGAAACCGGGAGGTGAAAGTTGAAGGCGTTGACTCGGACGGCCGTCCAGCACGCTTCAAGTTCACGCTACATGAGGACGAGCTGGAGGAGTTCGCAGGGCCCGGGAGCCATGACGACTGCGTGGCACTCTGCACGGAGTTCGCGGAGGTGATTGTTCACCAGCTCGAGCATCGGCTAGGCGACCTGGATGGGATGTCCGGGGTGAAGCTGTTCCTGCCAGACGAGTACCCACTGGATCGTGCCGAGAGGAAACGGCGGTGCCTTCAGTGGCTACAGTCGCTGGTCACCTTGTTCAAGGCCGACCTGACGGAGGAGATTGTGCCAGGTATGCCTTATCATCTTGCTTCGTTGCTCTGCTTGTGTACTGTGCGATGCTTCAGTCGATGTGTTTGATTAATCATTCAAAGATGTTCTATTGTTGTTTGTGTTTGTTTACTCATTCCATTCTGTTTACCCAATCCCGCCAGGAGTCAACAAGCACCGTGCAGAGAAGGAGCTGCGCATGTTTACCTCGGTGCTTGCAGCCTCTACCAAGGGCGACCGCAGCTTCCACGCGGGACTCACAGCCATGCTCAAGACGCCGGACTGGCGGGACAACTACCCCAACCTTGTTCATCTGTGGGTGGCGGTAGCTGTCCTGCCGCTGAGCACCGTGGAGTGCGAGCGTGGGTTTTCGAGGCAGAACATTATCAAGTCGTGGAAGAGAGGCTCGCTGAAGGATGCACGGCTGGGCGACCTCATGTGCATGAGCCTCATGGACTACGAGCCCAACTGGGAGGAGATCGTGACAATCTGGAGGGCCTACAAGAAGCGCAAGCCCCACAGCAACGCTCCTCTCCCGCCTGCAGGAAAGCAACTGAACAGGGCCAAGGAGGCAGAGGAGGTGATGGAAGTAGAAGACATAGATCAGGATGATGATGATGATGATGATGATGCATCCGATGGTGATGATGATGGATTTGATGAGTAGACTAGAGTAGATAGGATAGGATATATATAGCTGCAAGCTAGGTACTAGTAGTATGACTCTGTTATGTGCTAGGGTGTATGTTGTAACTTGTAGGCCAGCCTTATGTAGTTGAAAAACACTAAATACAACTCACCAGCAATTCATCAGACTAATCATTGGGGTAAACTCTGATTGCTTCAGACTTTTTTTTAAAGACACTCTGAAGTTTCAGCCTTTGTTTCAAACCTAGTCTGATCAAATCAGACTAACACAGTGTACTAAGTCTGACAAATCAGACAGGCAAAAAACGAATCTGAGGGCCTGCAAGAGAACCTCATATCAAGCTCTCACTGAAAAATCCCCTAAACCCAAAACCTCTTGCTACTTACCAGGCAAAAAGTACTATCTTGATACGAGGTGGCCTGATATGAGGCCGTAGGAATACGCTCTAACGATACTTCAACCATGTAATATGCAATGATTTAAGTTACATGTAAAAAAATGTGCAACCATTCTATATTATCTATTGCTTATGGGAATATTTCCATGTCCTGAAGCCTGGTATGATTCTTGATTTTATAATTTACCGTTCTGCTAATGTATAATTAGGCTAGGAGTACAAAGTATTGACTCATAACTCACTGTATACCACACTCTTGATATATTATACAGAAATGAGATTGAAGGGCATACTCTATAAGCTCATCAAATCGTGTACGTACGATATTCACCGCGGCTCCGTGGGCCAAGGTTTCCTGCTCCACCCATACTTATCAAATTATTGTGGCAGCTGCCCACCTATTATTGTGGCAGCTCCACCCGTTTGCGGAACGATGGGCTTGCTTTGAAATACTTTTTCTGCCCGTATCAAAGCATCATGGGTCAACGTTCTTGCCGCAGACCACGGCGAGACATTCGACTGATGTCCTACCGCGACTCGCAATTCCATCTGGGCTTGCATGGATTGTGCTTGGTGGGGCATGATTGCGACGGAAAGTGAGTCGTAGCCGTACTTCAACACACGAAAGCAGGTCCAATTCCACTTGGAACCAAGAATCCATACAGCGGTTCTCGTAGACGCTCCCCTGTTTCTCGTCAACTGAAGTTCTCGTCAATAAGTTCCCCCTATTTCCCACTTATTTCCTCTCTGTATTCCTGCAATTGACAAGATTCTAGGCCACACGCGTTGCACAACTACCATGGAACCACCAATTGCTTGCGCGCGATTCTTATTCCTCCTGTCCTTCGTCACCTGGCTGCTCTGCTTCGCCCAGGCGGCAGACCCACCGAAACCAGTTCCAGCAGGAATCTACATGAAATTCATGGTCTCCCCGCGCGCGGTCCTCCGCAAGGACATCAACAAGGGCGGCGGCACTTGCGACTTTGAGGGGAGCTTCGACATGAGCGGCCGATTCGACCACGGGCGCACGCTGTACGTTCCCGAGAGCTTTTACGAGAAAGGCGCAGCTTGCGGAGCATGCTTCACGGTCTCGTGCTCGAATTCAAAGGATTGTCAAGGCCCGAATGGAACAACCATGAACGTCACAGCGCGCGTTGTGGGGCTCGCGAGGTACACCACTCGCCTTCAGCTGTCGGACGTGTCGTGGGACGGGCTCGTCACGGACCGCAAGCGGCGCGACGTGGAGGTGCAGTTCAAGAAGGTGCCGTGCAACGCGACGAGCAGCATTGCTGTGCGCGTCGTGAGCGGCTCCAAGAAGCACAAGTTTGGGATACAGATTCTCGGCGCTGGGGGGTTGGGCGTCGCGGGAGTTGAGATATCGAACGATGGAAACAAGTGGGTGAGAATGGAGCGGAAGGACGGGGCTGCCACGTGGATGGTGAACAGCAAGGACGCCAAGGACGCAGCTAAGAACATCGTGCGCAGTGGCAAACACATGAGCGTACGCGTTACAGCAGCGACCTCGGGAGAGAAAGTTGTCCTCGATAACATCATCCCCGCTGGATGGACAGCCGCCCGCGTGTACATGGCCAAGACGAACTTCCACGTTGCGGGTGCAAAGACGGCGTGGTCCCCCCTGCCATCCGCAGTACTCAGCAAGGGCAGCGGCGTTGACAAGGCGAAAGTGGAGAGCGCGGTCGAAACGATCAAGGCGGCGGTCAGCAAGGCAGGCACTGAGGTTTCCGCCGCAGCCAAGTCAGCGCTCGAGGCATTGAAGGGCATTGTGGCTAGTCTGGAGGGGAAAGCGAAGGAGAAGCAAGACGGGAAGAAGTCTGATAAGTAGGGTGTGGGCAAGGTCCAAGGGTATTCATAGTGGCATTTGGGTCGGTGCTGAGGAGCTCGCCCAGCAGTGGTGGAGTTCAGTAAGTGAACATCCGAACCTGCGATTAGTCATCATGTGCTTGACACTGTCAGTGGGAAATTAGTTTCAGCGTGGGTGAAAAGGTTTTTTTAGGAAGCATGATTGCAGTATCTGTGGTGCTTTGTGTAAGTGATTGAGCTGGGTGAATGAGGCATCCGCATCCATGTGGGAGAAATTGCTGGCTTGATGTAATGTGGTGGTTAGTGGTGGTTGATGTAATGATTGGCTCGTTAGTTGTGGTTGATCATTTTGTGAAGTGTTCCTGCTGGCATTCTAGGAAGAAGAGTGGCAAGCAGCTAGATAGGTTACCTAGTAAGATCCATTGCTTCTGTTCCTCATGGCCAAAACGTTCTCTTTGTGATAAAATTAGGTGAAGAGGCCATGTAGCCAGACATATACCATATATAGTGCATTGCAGGTGCAGAGCAATGCCACCATAATTTCATACAGATTTTTTTCATACAGAATTTCCAGCTTCGTCTAATTTCAAAAAGGGGAAAAAAATAACCAACTGAACACAAATTCTAGTATACTGTAAGCTCCTAGCTAAGGGTACGTTCTTGGCTGGTGTCAGGCTCACTGACACAAGGCAAATGGACGATTCTGATCATTCCACGCCACCATCGTCAAAATCTACCGAAATCCCAACCTTTCAGAGCTTGGTGTCAAGAATCTAGACACCAGCCTGTTAGATTCCTAAGCCAAGTTAGGGCTTAAGTTTTAGGAAGGAGAAATGGAAGAAGAGGGGTTCGAACTAGTAGGCAGGTGGGATACATATAGGAAACCCTAAAAGGGTTGTACTCACTGTTGAGTACCCCACTACAGCCTACACAACAAATAACAGTTTCACACACCCCCATAGGCAAAGTGGGTTATAGCCAACAGAATAAGCAGTCACAGAACCAGTTCATACGCAAACACTGGTGGCAGAAGCAGAGGGCAAGTGAGGAGGAGGAGGAAACTGGAGAGGAGAGGAGGTGGGCGGCTGCTGAAGCTGCTGGCACTGGTCGCAAACGGCGTGCCTGGCTCTGCTCACCGGCAAGAGCAACTGACCCTCTAGGGACCGGAGCAACGGGTAACCATAGTAACTGGCTCGCTCGCCGGCAAGAGCAACTGACCCACGGGTCTCTGACGCAACGGTCTCATGGGCGACTAGAGCTGCGGACTTCACGGCGGCCAAACGCCCTTACCCCCCTTGGATTGTCCCACACCCCCGTGTCACACCCCTTGGCCCTAGCGCCACTCCCCAACCTCACCCACTCCATCCCCCCCTCAGCGGCAGCTGCAGTAGTGGGAGAGAGAGGAGGAGGAGGGGCAGCTGGTCACGCACTCCCACCACCCCCATACCCCCCCTTACCCCCGCCACCCCCATACCCTCCACACGGCTGCACGCACAGTAGGAAGTCAAAGGAGGGGGGGGGAGGTGTTAACAGGAATGGAGTGTTGGCCCGACCCTCGCTTGGGCAACGCCGACGACTTGGTCGGATGTACGGGAGTAGCAGCCGAACGTTCACAGTGGAAGAGCTGCTCGACAGGCTTCGTCGAGCTGCAGGGGACCGCTGTGGTGTTGCTGTCGACCAGGGAGCTCGACATCTGCAACTGACTGGTCTGGGCGACGGGTGGGACGTCGACCAGGACCTACAGCTCGACCGGGAGGTCTCCGGAGCATCCCGTCGACCTGCCAATCGACCGGGAGGTCTCCGGAGCATCCCGTCGATCTGCCGTTCGACCGGGAGGTCTCCGGAGCATCCCGTCGACCTGCCGTTCGACCGGGAGGTCTCCGGAGCATCCCGTCGACCTGCAGTTCGACCGGGAGGTCGACGGAGCACTCCGTCGACCTGACAAGTGAGTAGCGGTCGACGAGGGGAGCTCGGCGACAACCGCTGATGGTTCTGGTCGACGGAAGGGGTCCGTCGACCAGGGGGTAGCTCGACGGGAGTTGTGGTCGACCAGAGGCCCCTGGTGGTCGACCAGAGGGACCTGGTGGTCGACCAGAAGCAGTGGTGGTCGACCGGAAGCACCTGGTGGTCGACCGGGTCGACCGGGTAACCTGCTCGACGAGTTTTGCGGAGGCACGCGAACGTCGTCGAGGTTGCGATGGCGCAGGCGACTGCGGGCTGGTATCCCGGAGTCGATGTGGCTCGTCAGGCGCAGACAACAGCCGACGGATGCCCAACGAGGCAAGTCGGGCCAATCGTCTGCGCACACCTGCGAGCGTGCACACTGCTGTGTTCTACGGGGCAACGCTGGACAGACGCTCTGCTGCAGCGTTGGCACGCCGTCGACCTGCTCCGTTGGCAGGTCGCCTTTCTGCAGTGCTGGCGCGGCTCCTCTACGCAACGCTGGCAGGCGGTCGACCGAGCTGTGCTGGCGGTCAACCAGGCTAGCAGCAGGGTTGCTAGGTGCCTGATGTAGTCATTGTTGTCATTGCTTGTTCAATCATTCTGTAATTCCTACTTTGCTAGTGAAAACTCTTGCCGATTTCTCCCGTGAATGTGCAAGCACTAAGGAACCAAGCAAAGCTACGATCACCTCTAGTAGTTCGTGCCAACCCCCGTAGTCTAGCTCACTACCGTTGTAGAGTGACTCTCCGCATGGTGCGGTGAGCGTGGACGGCCCCGCAAATACCTTCAGATAGGAGCCGACTTGTGCACCTACTAAGTCGTTTGTAGGTCGGCAGCAGCGATAGTCGCCATGGTCGACCCCGTAGTTGATGCGGGCGTAGCGGACACCTTGGAGGCACGTTTGGCTGACGCGAGGAGACGCCACGCGGATGGCGAGTACGGGACGATCCCCTTGGTGATCGCCGAGTTGGGCATCCGGTCGCAGTGGGCGACGGAACACCCTTCCCAACCTGCTTCTCCTCGACCACTGCACAACGAAGGTGGCGTCGACGACGAGGTCGACAGTGGTGCACGAGTCAGCGGCAGCGAAGGCACGAGGCAGAGAGGGGTGATCAAGGTCGACGGTGGTGTCGACGGAATCCAGGCGCGAGTGCAGCGGTCGACGGCGGCTGCAGGCAGCTCGCGTGCCGGCGTCGATGTTCGACGTCGCTCTCCTCTACAAAGCGGTGGAGGGCTCTCGGCGACGACGCATGTGACTGCAGGCGGGATTGCACCGGCGTATGGCTACTTCAAATTCTCGCCGGACCCGATCACCGTCGCACCGCTGCAAGTTCAACGGGATCTCATCACGTGGAGGGAGTCGATCGAACCTCAGCTGGAGGTCGTCGGGCTGAAGGGCTTCGCCGACGGCACCGTGCCAATTCCGCCCGAGGAGGATGTCGAGCTGCGCGGGGAGTTTCGTTCTGCTCACCTGCTCACCTTCATGGTCATCTCGAGGTGTTGCTCGCCGGTGGTGCAGCTAGCGCTCAGGAGCTGTCGAGAGCGACTGGATGCTGGTCACCAGGCATGGCGCTTTATCATGTCGACGTACCAGGTCAGGGACGACCTGTACATCGGGCAGCTGGAGGAGAAGATGACTCACATTCGGATGGGCGAGCAGGAGTCGGCGACGGATTACTACAACCGTGCTCGACGGATCCTGGCTGAGATGCGGATGGCGGGCGCCGAATACTCGACGGCGTCCTACATCACCCACATCGTCAAGGGCTTGCCACGCAGCTACAATCTCATGAAGAGAATGATGATGGTGCCCGGCACGTGTGAGTCCCTCGACGAGGACTCCATCACCAGCTACATTCTTCAAGATGAGGCGATGCAGGAGGCCGAACAGCCTACAGAGCTCCTTCCGGAGGCAAACTACGCTGCATCGACGAAGCTGAATCAGCAGCAAGGGCAGCGCGGGAAGCCGGGCGGAGGTGGTAGCGGAGGTGGGCGGTCGACGAAGGACGTCGACGAGAAGCGGTCGACGCGGGACAAGGGTCGACGAGGTGGTGGTCGACGGCGGGAGTGCTGGATCTGCGGCGACCCCGACCATCTCTCCTTCGAGTGCCCCGACCGCGATGACAGCGACGAGGACGACAACAAGGGAGGTCGTGGTCGATCGGCCAGTCGTCGCCCCCGTCGAGATGAGAAGCCGCGCAAGGAGAAGCAAGCGTCGAAGAAGACGTTGTCGACGAAGGACGTCGACAGCTTCAGCGGCAAGAGCCGAGGCGACGGGGAGGCGTCGTGCTCGATGGTCGGCGTGGTGGAGCCGACGGTCTCGCTGGCGCCGGAGGCTGGCGAGGACTTCGAGGCGGTGGCGGCAGCTGTGCAGGCCAACCCTATGGCGGTGCTGCTCGACAGCGGGTGCTCCCACCACCTGATGGGCACGAAGTCGGTCTTCGTCGACATGGGGCCGAGCGACGGGGTGAAGCACGTGCGTGGGTTCAACGGGGCATTGCAGCCTGTCGAGGGTCGCGGAACCGTCGCTCTGCAAGGGGAGGCCGGGAAGCGGGTCCTCATCCCCGACGTACTCTACGTTCCGGGCGTACAGGCGAACCTTCTGTCTGCTGGCCAGCTGAAGGAGAGCGAGTGCAGTTGCAGGGCGACGGCGACGAGATGCTGCTCGTCGCTGCGAGCGGGGAGGTACTCGGTCGAGCACGCTACACCGGACGGGTAATCTGCACTGACCTTTGCCCCTGCTCGATGCAGTCGCCGTCGACCAAGGTGGTGGCTCTGCGGACGATCGTCTCGGCGACGAAGATGACCCCCGATAGGATGCATGCGCGACTTGCACACGTCAGCGTCGACACGATCAAGAGCTCGGCGAAGCATGATGTTGCTGATGGGCTCGACATCACGCCGTCGACCGCAGCAGACCCGCCGTGTTTCTCGTGCGTCGGAGGAAAGCTAGCGCGGCACACCTTCCCCGCCAAGGGCTCAGACGCAGCGGAGGCGCTAGCTGTCGTGCACATTGACTTGTGCGGGCCATTTCGGGTGGCTGCCAAAGATGGCAGCTTGTACTTCCTGTTGCTGAAG